AGTTTGTTTTAAGCTTTAGTAGACTTGCTCTGCATCTCCCACACACTCTCTTCCCTCACTCGCACCTGACCGCTGTTAGGACAGAGACAAGAAGGTCGGGGGCGTGGTCAGGTGCATGTGACACGCACCACAAGGATATAGACTGCTACGGCCTGATCGTCAGGTGGCTGACGCGGCGTGAGCCTACACCTACGCGTGCCACCATGTTCCTTGGTTAACATCAAACACCTGACCAGGTTTTTAAGACAACAGCAAAAGCATGGAATAGGTGTCACGGATCCCAAATCACACAGTCTGAGCCTCAGTGGCACAAGCTCCACTGTAATCCACCTGGTCACAGCCGCCGTCAAGTAAGACGGACGAATTACACCATAGGCTTTTCATAGTTCAATATCATCGAAAAATGCGTTACTTCAGATAATGATACGTATATCAGTGTTTGAATAAGGTCCTTACGTAATTTAGCGTTTACTTTTGGTGTAAGATTTGTATGAAACTCAATAGTGATCATCATCAGTAGTAGAAACTGAAAAAGATTTCGACCATCTTCCACGCTTACAGATCTTTGTGAGTTAACACCCTGTTTTAGTCTAAGCTGATTGGAATTTCCAGATTGTTAAGTCATTGTTGAGTTATTTCAGTTACTGCAAGCAAGCTGCTTACATCGATTTGTAATTCCACGTTTTCACCATCCCACAGTAGCCCGCTACTGTGACCAGGTCCCTAGAGAGAAAGGGAATTTGATGATACAAAGCAAAGAAAAGACAACCATTAAAATCATGGGGAAGTTAAAATATCATAAAGTTATTTTTGGTATACAACACTTTCATTTTTGCAATTTAGGTAAAGTAAAACTGCACTTACAGCTTTGGATGAGCCGCGACCGCATTTACAATGGAGTACTCTTCTCGCTGAATTAACTGTAATATAAAATACATGAGGTATGCTGGTCAGAAGTCTAAGGAGGCCTGATTGAATAAGATTAGGTGCAGCGATTAACCGCACCGGTAGCCGTTACTACAAAAAATGTGTAAAAGCGGAAATGTCGCCAATTCCCACAATGGTATCATAGAAGATAATCAAGTCTGATCTAATAGAGTGGCTATGGATCAGGGGTGATTCTAAATCACCAATGGCAAAAGTCGGCCGCCACTCTCTCAAACAAACTCAATGACTTGAGAGCTAGAGGGCCAACCCCAAGCAGGAAGATCAGTTAACACATTATTCCTTTCCAGCGTGCGCTTGCGAACCGTAACATCAGTTATTAGGGCATTTGACTCAGGTGAACATCCATTGGTTAGGAGCGGCTTAATTCCCCAGTCTTGTACGCTATAAAAACACCAGGTCATATATTGAATTTTACAGAGTAGGCATTAGGCTCAGTCTATAGTAGAAAAAAAAGAACACAGTCCCAAAACCCAGAAATTGTTAGTTAGACATCCAGTAGTGAAATAATGGCATCTGGATTTACACGATGGATATCGGAAAGCGCGTTTTGCTTGGCACGACAGGCATAATTCAATCGAGCAATTGTAAAACACTCCTCTCCAAGTGGTGATTTGAGTAATGCTGAAAAACCAAGAAGTCCATAAAATTTATATCAACTAAATTTATCTGAAATGAGCAGGGTTTGGAACGAGAGTGATAGTAAAGAATGACGCACCTTGACAACTTTTCCCTCCACACCAATGCTTGCAAGGACCGCGTGCGAGGTACTAACGACAAAGTCCTCCACTACGAACTTTTCTCTTGGGATCGTTGCATCTTCAGGATACCTTGTGTTAGCAAATTGGTTGAGACCGCTTCAAGGAAGATTTCATAAGGAGAAAGATGCCAGTTTAAATCTTGTTCAATACAGGCAATCTTTGAGTTAATTAACAGGTATTTACGGCTAACGAATGTTGTGAAAGCTAGAACATAACGATTGCAATTATGAAACTTACTACTTCCCAAACAATGAGATTCGTTTTCTACGAGACGAGATTTGACAGCATTATCAAAATTTAGGCGCATTTAGCAGTCGCAAAAACGCATTATGTACGATGCCTACAAGAAACGTTTTACACAACTGCAAGTTGGAAAGCATATTTTTAGTCATGAAGGTATTTGTGACGTCGACGGTTCTGCTACCAAAACAAAATCCAGGGAACAGTGCAAGTCAGGATTAAATGTCGGTAAGATTTTTTCATACTCTAAGAGAACTTACCCATCAATGAGACCGTGGTCAGCAAAGCTGACAGATCTGATCTCACCAAACCTGGCCTCGTTATACCAGTAGAGTAGTAGAAAGTTGGGGTCGGAGAAGCGTATTCTTCCTTCGGCATCGCCCGTCACAATCGATACACCCGTAGAAACACTGAAAGAGTGAATCGAAGGTACTTTTGTAATTATTTTATTGAGCGGTATTTGTTCAGATGTGTGGAGAGTGAGAGTCCCTTGCTGAAAAATGAGAACATATCACAGGAGAGTAAATGCAATTTAGAAACATAAGGCATTTTCTGATGTTTCTCCTGAGATTCCTAGATTTGGTCCTCAACGTCTTTCTAGATAACCATTACTGTAATATCTGACTGTTGCGATGAAAGGGTTCTCCACAGCATCGCTAAGGAAAGACAAGGGTTTGTAGCGACCTCTTATTCTAAGCCATGCTTTGCTTACATGCCTGTGGGG